TTTCATGTAGACCTGAAGGTCTAAAACGGTGCTCTGAGAACTCCATTCAGGCTGACTGAGAAAGGTTATGATGTTTGGGTTTTTGGGGGTTATTTTTATAAAGTGCTCTTCTCCAAAGCACTTTACAATAGTGAGCTAATGGTACAAACAATATTCAGAAAGATCGTGAACGGGTTTACCGAGACCCTCAGCAATTTTCAATTGGTCGGTGAAAAAAAAGTTAGACCACTCAAACAACCAAAGTCCCTCACTTTTATTTTCATTTACTTATCATTACTTATAATATAGGAGGAGGATGAAGAGAAAAAAATGAAAAATGTCAGGGGCAGGAGGAGTGAATTTTCTTTTTCATGGCTGGGCCCCGAGGGCCCCCCAAAAGGAAGCTGAGCATAGGGCCCAATTAATTCTAAATCTGCCACTGCTGCTGTCCTGTTCCCTTTCCATTTCCTCTTTTCAAACCAAATATACCCAGTTTCTTCAGCCTCTGCTTGTGCGCCTTGTGATCCATCCTTGGATCATCTTTGTCCCATGACTCTGGACCTTTTCCAGGTTTGCTGCATTCTTCCTATACATGGGCAACCCAAATTAGATACAATGGACCAGCTGAGGCCCAACCAGTGCCAAGTATAGCAGTATTGTCACCACCTATGACTTGCAGGCAATGCCTTGGGTAAGGCAACTCCAAACTGCATTTTCTTTTTTCACAATGGCAAATAAATCCACACCCCAGAGAGGTGAAGCTATGGGAAGGCAACCCTTGCATAGGCAGCATGAGTCCCTCAACAGAAGACTTCTTCCATAGCCCTGGCTACCACCTCTCAGGGAAATGGATTACCCACACTGATGGGAGAAGCTCTAGTGTCAATGTCAGTAGCGTGTACAATAATGTGCTACACCAGCACCACTCTAGCCTTTTATTTCTAGTGAAGCCTTCAAACAGATCTTCCAGAAAAGCATCCAGTCTGGATCTGCGAGCACAGGGAATTAGAAAATCCACCACTTTCCTTTGCTGTGACCCAAACGTTAATCCCCCTCACAGCTCAAGATTTGGTCCTTATTTCCAACACAAATTTGTTTGGCTTCAGCTTCCAGCTGTCGTGGTTCCTCTGCCTTTGTCTGCTAGATTACAGAGCCGGTTATCACCCCTGGTTTTTCCCCATGAAATTCCCCCCTTAACCATCATTTTCATAAGTTCTGTCTCTCACTCTGGCATTTTCTCCAGCCTCCTGCCATTTTTCTAGCTCTTTTCTGCAGGTCCCCCAATTTTTCAACAACCTGTTTGAATGATCAGCCTCAGGGCTGGACATGGTTGGTATCACCAATGCCATGCACTGAGCTAAAATCCTTCCCCTGCTCCAGCTCTCCACTCCCCGATTTTGCATCCAAGGAGCCCGTCAGCCCTGTTTTCCACATCATCACCCTGGGAGCTCAAAATCCTAATGACCCCTAGTGATCCCTAATTCCTTTTTAAGGTCCTTGACTGGCCAGTTTTTCTGGAAGATCAGCCGCTTTTGCGGAAAAGCTTTCCAGCTATCTACACTGGCCGCTTGAATTTCTGCAAAAGCACTGACTTCCTACTGTAAGAAATCAGAGCTTGTTGCAGAAATACTATGCTGCTCCCGTTCGGGCAAAAGTCCTTTTGCACAAAACTCAGCTCAGATTTGTTTTGCGCAAAAAAGCCCCGATTGCAAACATGGCGATCGGGGCTTTTTTGCGCAAAAGCGCGTCTAGATTGGCCACGGACGTTTTTCTGCAAAAAGTGCTTTTGCGGAAAAGCATCCATGCCAATCTAGAAGCTCTTTTCCAAAAATTCTTTTAACAGAAAACTTTTCCATTAAAAGCATTTGTGGAAAATCATGGCAGTCTAGACGTGACCCTTGTGTTCCCTAATGAAGTGTCTTACTGGGAGAGTCGGTTCTATATTCCCTGGTTCCCAGACAATAGTTCTGGATCTGACTGTACCAAAAGATTTTGTTCGTTTGGACCCAACTAATTATATGCTCCAGGACAATCAATGTTCCTGCCTTGGCGTCCTCGTTTTAACCCCTCTGCCTATATTTCGGCCAACCGCAATTTTTTTCTGTAATGATTTTCTGTTTGCTTCTGGATCATTGATGAAAATATTGACTACCATTTAGCCTAGAATGGAATGCTGCAAACAGTCCCAGTCCCTAACAAAGACCTGTTGACAACTGCTCTCTGAGATGTGGCCTTTAGCCTCTTTTAGCCCATTTTTCATGTGCTCTATTGATATTGTCAGTGTTCATTTTAAGAATTATATTTCCCAACACTGAATCAAATGCCTCAGAGGAATCGAAGCATTTTTTTCATATCTGTGGATGACCCTTCAACAATCAAAAGTTCTACTATACTTACTATTTCACATCCGTTCTCCTTCACCAGCTAATGTGATAGGAGTGTCTCTAACTGCTTATTCCAAATGAAGAACAAACTTAGGGTATGTCTACACGTGCACCCTTTTTCAAGAGAGGAATGCAAATGCAGACATTCGAAATTGTAAATGAAGTCGGAATTTAAATATTCTGTGCTTCATTTGCATATTTGTGGATGGGTGCTATTTCAAAATACGTCTTCCGAAATAAACTTTAAACCTTGTTCTATGAGGAATAAGGTTTATTTTGGAAGAAGGGTTTTCTCCCAAAATAATTGCATCTAAACAGCGTTTTTTATTTCGAAATAAAGTATTTTGAAATAGCGCCCGTTTGCAAATATGCAAATGAAGCGCGGGATATTTAAATCCCGGTTTCATTTACAATTTCAAATGTCTACATTTGCATTCTTCTCTCAAAAGAGGGTGCAAGCGTAGATATATCTTTATTGTTGAAAGCATCTACCTTTTCTGCAACATTCACAAGTTTCCTTTCGCCCTCTTATAACTGGTGTAAATCTTTTCTATGATTTCTTTTGTGTTTAATATACTTCATAACCACCTTTTTCTGAGTGCCACCGGACTCCTTGGTGTTTTTATTGAATCAGACTAACAGGACTCCTTTTTTGGAACCTTTTTGGGATATAATAGAAATGTAGCCTTGTTAGTCTGGTGTAGCTGAAGCAAAATACAGGACTATGTAGCACTTTAAAGACTAACAAGATGGTTTATTAGATGATGAGCTTTCGTGGTCATCATCTAATAAACCATCTTGTTAGTCTTTAAAGTGCTACATAGTCCTGTGTTTTGTTTTTGGGATATGTAACTCTGCCAAGCATAGATTTTTCCCTTATCACTGTGGAATGGTAGCTCTTAGATATCTAATAAATTCTAAAGAATTCACAATTTTTCCCCCATTTTTCTGTCTAAATGTTTCCTTCCAATACCAATTGCTCGTTATTTGCCTCAGCTTTAGGGAATTAGCACTTTTGCAGTGATATAGATATCACTGGTTGGGAACTGTTCTCACCTTCTCCATTTGAATGTAATAAGTTTGATTCTTCATTTCCTTCTCCTCGCTCATATGTACCTTTGTTTGTCTCTTCTTTAAGGGTGCATCTACACAACACCCTAAACTCGAAATAAGATACACAAATTGCATAATGCAAATTGCATATCTTATTTTGATTGAAATTCAAAATAGGCTCTTTCAAAATTTGGCACATCTACACAGCACCAAATTGTGAAATAACATGCTCTTTTGAGATGTCCCTTAGCCTTCGTGGAACAAGGGATGCCAGGATGCTGAAATATTGCACCCGTTCTCTAGAAAAATATTTAGAAAAATATTTAGAAATAATGGACAGCTTGTGAAGACGGGGGGGAAGAGAGGGCAGCTATTTTGGGATATCTCCAGTATCCCGAAATAGCCGTTTAGTGTAGATGTACGCTAAGCTAAGTAGTTCCAGAATTTTCAGCCTGTCTGCAAAGACTTCCCCAATCTCATAACCTGCCAGGGAAACCCTCTTTCTATCTGCTATATGCTTTCCAGAGATTGGGTGGACAGAGTTGAGCGTACAGTCTGAGCAGATAATTCTGAGCAACCCGTTGACTGGGGAAAATCCGTACAGCGGGGATTTTCTGGCCTGGATTTAATTGAAATAAGAAACATAAGAGATAGCCATTATCCACACTCCTGTTTCCTCCTGATGCCTATTAAGGTTTCCCACACAGAAGTGTTTTGGAACTCCTGAGGCTCGGAGAACTTTCATATATGGGACATGCATTCCTATGGTCAGTGGTTCAGAATTCATTTCTGTGAATAACAAAAGTGCCACTCTGCTTCACGCGCAAGACAAACCTGTAGTAGTACATTCAGGGTCACATATTTCCATTGTTTCTCCTTTCAGGCATTTGTACTGAAACCTTCACCATAGGCCCTGGACAAATACAAGAACTCACAGGAGCACACGGTACAAGTTGGGGCAACATTCTTCCACAGAGCTGGACACCATCTCTCCTACTTGATGTCAGAAGCCAACTCAACTGACTTCACCAACCCCTCCACCTTCATCCTGCTGGGCATTCCCGGCCTGGAGGCGGCTCATGTCTGGATCTCCATCCCCTTCTGCACCATGTATATCATAGCTATCTTGGGGAACTTCACCATTCTTTTCATCGTTACTAGGGAGCCGAGCCTTCATAGGCCTATGCACTATTTCCTCTGCATGCTGGCCGTCAACGACCTGGTCCTGTCTACGATTATCGTGCCCAAAACCCTGAGCATCTTCTGGTTTGATTCCACAGAGACCAGTTTCAATGCCTGCCTCACCCAGATGTACTTTGTTCACTGCTTCACAGTGGTGGAGTCTGGGATCTTGGTGGCCATGGCTGTGGATCGCTACGTGGCCATCTGCCATCCCCTGAGACATTCCACCATCCTGACTGACCGCATGGTGGCTAAGATTGGCCTGGCCCTGCTGCTGCGCGGTAGCACAGTTGTATTGCCCTATCCACTCTTAGCCAGGCAGTGGCTATATTGTAGAACCAACATCATCTCCCATTCATACTGCAAGCACATCGCCGTGGTAACTTTGGCCTGTGGCGACATCCGTGTCAGTAATTACTACGGCCTGTTTATGATGCTCTTTGTGGCCTTTGTGGATATGTGCTTTATCACAGCGTCTTATACCCAGATCTTTAGGGCGATTTTCAGCCTCCGCACAATGGACGCCCGGTGCAAAACATTTGGGACCTGCAGCACCCAACTCTGTGCCATCTTAGTCTTTTTCATCCCAGATGTCGTGTCCTCAGTCATTCATCGGTTTGACTACATTGTGCCCCCCCATGTCCTCATTCTCATTGCTAACGTGCACCTTGTGGTGCCCTCCATGCTTCACCCCATCATCTATGGGATAAGGACCAAGGAAATCCGGGACAGGTTGCTCTGGGTCTTTACTCATAAAAAGATCTAAAGGTTTCTCTTGGTGCATTCACTCTCTTGTAATAATATGTTTTTTCTGTAGTCATGTTGGAAAGCCTGTAGCCATATTGGTAGGCCTAAAGCCTTCCACCGTAGCCAGACTGAAGAGCAGCAGCCATGAGCTGTAAAGCCTGGAGTCCCATTCTCACATTCTATCTAAATAGCATTAAAATAGTGTCGCACTAGGCTGTTAAGAAGGAGATCCTGTCCTAATGGCCCCCACTGTTACCAGATAAAGAAACAGATCTCAGGATGGGTCGAGAAAACTTAGTTAACAACATTTCATCTGGCAAGAAACTGTTTATCAATAGTTGAGGTCGTGGGATTCTAGGTTCATGGTCCTCACTTTCCTATTTTTTGTCTGTGTGGTCTCTCTCTGGTTTGGAACTATTTCCATCTGCTGTATAATTAATTTTGCTAGGTGTAAATCAATTAAGGTAGTGAGGTAGGATTGGTTAGGTAATTCTGTTAGAATATGTTATGATTGGTTTGTAAAATTATACTAAAGTAATTGGTCAAAGTATAGCTAATCAGGACTGAAGTTTCACTATATAAACTGGGGTCCAAGAAGGAGAACAGGAGGGAAAAAAGGGAAAGAAGAAGGAAAAGAGGCAGGGAAGAAAGGAACAGCAAGAGAAGGAAGGAAGAGCCGGAAGAAGAACTCATCTCCAAAACCTAAGACTAGAGCTGCCAGGATTCCTCTGCACGACCATGAAGTGCAGCAGCTAGACTCCCGAGAATCTGACATTGCCTGGTCAACAGGGGAAGTCTGCCTGTACCAGGACAGGTGAGCATGACACTGTGAATAGCAGGTGTATTGTGCTTGTTTGGGAATTGTCAATCAATAGAGGATGAGGATATTACTGGGTGAGGCTCTTTCAGTGGCTAAAGATCCTGCCAACCCACAGCAAAAGTCCCTTTTGCGCAAAACTTTTGCGCAAAAGGGCCAGTGTAGACAGCTCAGATTTGTTTTCCACAAAAAAAGCCCCGATCACCAAAAAGGCGATCGGGGCTTTTTTTGCAGAAAATCACGTCTAAATTTGCCACGGATGTTTTTCCGCAAAAAAAAGCATCCGTGCCAATCTAGACCCTTTGTTCTGAAAATGCTTTTAACGGAAAAGTTTTCCGTTAAAAGCATTTCTGGAAAATCATGCCAATCTAGACGCAGCCTTGGAGATTTCATGAGCGGGACCCAAACAAACAAAATATTTTAATACAGTCAAATCCAAAGCTATTCTCTCAGAACGAGGGAATATAGAACCAGCTCACACTGTAGGATACTTCCTTAGGGAATGCAAGGGACCTTGGAAAGGACTTAGGGGGCACTTGAGGAGAAGGAAGGAAGAGCCGGAAGAAGAACTCACCTCCAAAGCCTAAGACTAGAGCTGCCAGGATTCCTCTGCACGACCATGAAGTGCAGCAGCTAGACTCCCGAGAATCTGACATTGCCTGGTCAACAGGGGAAGTCTGCCTGCCTTTATTGGTTCCTCTGCACGACCATGAAGTGCAGCAGCTAGACTCCCGAGAATCTGACATTGCCTGGTCAACAGGGGAAGTCTGCCGACTGATTTTCCGGAAAAACTGGCCAGTCTAGACACAGCCCAAGAGAATCAATGTTCCTGCTTTGGTGTCCTCATTTGATTCCCTCTGCCAATATTTTGGCCATCTGCAATTTTTTTCTGCAATGATTTTTCTATCTGCTTCTAGATCTAGCATAATGGAAGCCGCTTCTAGGCGATCGGGGCTTTTTTTGCAGAAAATCACGTCTAAATTTGCCACGGATGTTTTTCCGCATTTTTTTTGAAATGGGGCTTTTTCGGAAATCATATGGCAATTTAGATGGGGATCTTTCGAAAATAAAACACTTTTTTGCAAGATTCTGTACTCCTCATAAAATGAAGTTTACAGGATCTTTTAAAAAAGGGTTTTGTTTTAGAAAGATCCCCGACTAAATTGCTGCGTTATTTTTTTTCTGAAAAAGCCCCGTTTTGAAAAAAAAGCGCCGGCTACCATGAGGCAAATGAAGGGCTGTTCTGACAGAAACACTCAGACCTAAGCGGTACTAGGCACAGGCCATAAGCACATTCCAGAGGGGTGGTAACAGAACACCTCGGAAAGAAACATCTTGGTACCAATACACACTGCACAGGTAACAGGAATACATCGACCCAGGTGATAGACAGTGATCAAACACCCACGTACAAGGTCCAGGGTCAATCTAAGTAACATCCGAGGGTGGCAACCTGATACGTCAGGAGAGATGTGTACCCTGTGTGTACCTATGTATAATACTGCACCCGAAGGGAATTGTCCTTGTCCAGCGTAGGGGGCAGTATCCCATTCCTGGCACTGACTTACCTGGTTTGCGAGTCTTTCTGCGCCCCTTTGGAGTCTAATCAATCAGCCATCTGTGCAACACTCACTCAATGTTTGAAGGGCCGGCATGCAGCTGAACAGACATCATAATTGGACAGACCACGGTACCTGTCAGGACACCGCGTAGATCTAGCATAATGGAAGCCGCTTCTTTTTTTTGAAATGGGGCTTTTTCGGAAATCATATGGCAATTTAGATGGGGATCTTTCGAAAATAAAACACTTTTTTGCAAGATTCTGTACTCCTCATAAAATGAAGTTTACAGGATCTTTTAAAAAAGGGTTTTGTTTTAGAAAGATCCCCGACTAAATTGCTGCGTTATTTTTTTTCTGAAAAAGCCCCGTTTTGAAAAAAAAGCGCCGGCTACCATGAGGCAAATGAAGGGCTGTTCTGACAGAAACACTCAGACCTAAGCGGTACTAGGCACAGGCCATAAGCACATTCCAGAGGGGTGGTAACAGAACACCTCGGAAAGAAACATCTTGGTACCAATACTCACTGCACAGGTAACAGGAATACATCGACCCAGGTGATAGACAGTGATCAAACACCCACGTACAAGGTCCAGGGTCAATCTAAGTAACATCCGAGGGTGGCAACCTGATACGTCAGGAGAGATGTGTACCCTGTGTGTACCTATGTATAATAATGCACCCGAAGGGAATTGTCCTTGTCCAGCTTAGGGGGCAGTATCCCATTCCTGGCACTGACTTACCTGGTTTGCGGGTCTTTCTGCACCACTTTGGAGTCTAATCAATCAGCCATCTGTGCAACACTCACTCAATGTTTGAAGGGCCGGCATGCAGCTGAACAGACATCATACTTGGACAGACCATGGTACCTGTCAGGACACCGTGCTGCTGTCTTCTAGCAACCAGACCATCTATGGACAGTTCATTGATTTGCCAACTTCTTAAAACTAGACCCTCCAGACCTTACCTCTCAGATCTCTTCTATGTCGGTCCCTCCCTGCTCCGCCTCTTCTGCCCCAAATCCTCCTGTTGCTCTCTTCCCCTCCCCTTGTCACTCGCTAGATCACCTCCATATGCCCCATCCAACAGCCTCCATCTGTAAGGCAGTCATTTCAGATGGTATGGGATAGACTTTGATTGTGTTTCCAATGTCTACTTAGGCTGCTGAAAGTTCTTGATTTTTTGTCTGTTTATTTTGGGAGGGTTTTTTGACATATAAGTTAGCATTTAGCTATCGGGAGCACTGTATCTAACACATAGATAAAAGAAACTTCAATACACATTAGACCCACATCCTGTCACAAGTCACTTAAGGGACACTGGTTAGTTGTAACATTTTCATGTATATTCGTACTTAATCACTAACTCTGTGGAAAGCTGGACCCGTCATTACTGCTGGGTTGCATGTCTGCTATTGGATGGGTGTGTATATAGACGGACTCAGGAGAATCAGAGATACAACTGGTATGTATATAAGAATATCAGAATGGGTAAGACCAATGGTCCCTCTAGCTCTGGAATCCTCTGTTCTGACATTGGCCAATGCCAGGTGCCCCAAAGGGAAAGAACAGGAAGGACAAAGGTTGTAGCTTGAATCAATTCATCATGTTGTTTGCCCGCCACAGGGTGCCGGTGACTTTTTAGAGGCAATGGACTTTATGTTACAACGGCATCACCCATATGCACTGGTGGGGTGTTGCAATGAACCAAAAATGGTTTTGTTCCCATACAGAATGGGAAGCGACTATCTAGGAAGGAGTATAGCAGAAAGGGATCTAGGGGTTACAGTGGATCACGAGCTAAATATGAGTCAACAGTGTGTTGACAAAAAAAGCAAACATGATTCTCTGATGCATTAACAGGTGTGTTGTGAGCAAGACACGAGAAGTCATTCTTCCGCTCGACTCTGCGCTGATTAGGCCTCAGTTGGAGTATTGTGTCCAGTTCTGGGCACCACGTTTCAAGAAGGATGTGGAGAAATTGGAGACGGATCAGAGAAGAGCAACAAGAATGATTAAGAGTCTAGAGAACATGACCTATGAAGGAAGGCTGAAAGAATTGGGCTTGTTTAGTTTGAAAAAGAGAAGATTGAGAGGGGACATGAGAGCGGTTTTTAGGTATCTGAGAGGGTGTCACAAGGAGGAGGGAGAAAATTTGTTCTTCCTGGCCTCTGAGGATAGAACAAGAAGCAATGGGCTAAAACTGCAGGAAGGGAGGTTTAGGTTGGACATTAGGAAAAAAGTTCCTACCTGTCAGGGTGGTTAAACACTGGAATAAATTGCCTAGGGAGGTTGTGTAATCTCCATCCCTGGAGATGTTTAAGAGCAGGTTAGATAAATGTCCATCAGGGATGATCTAGACAGCACTGGGTCCTGCCATGAGGCCAGGGGGCTGGACTCGATGACCTCTCGAGGTCCCTTCCAGTCCTAGGATTCTATGATTCTGATTCCCATAGCTTCTGGCATCAATCCCACACATAGTGCAGATGGCGGCATCATACACAGAGTGGTGTGTGGGGGAGGGGAAGCCACTGTTATTGGCTAAGCTGACTGGATTTGGAAACTCTGTTGGCTCTGACCATATGAGCCCCTGGTATCAGCTCATCATTTCCTCCCTCCTAGAGGAAGCTCTCAGGCTGCAGTTGTCCAGGATCTATTTTCTGCTCTTCCCGCTGCTCACAGAGCTGAGGGAATTGTCTGGGAGCCTGGCCAACCTAAGAGTCCACAGGGATTGTGCAGGGAAATCATAAAGGTGGCTGTCCAGCAGGGGAGTGTCAGACATGTTAGACTCACACGCTGATTCTCGGAGCTCTGCCTCTCCGTCACAGGATGGAGGTTTCTTCTCTCGTGTGAGCAGGTTTGTGGTGAGTTACTTGTTCCTGCTCTAATGGCAGTGGTGCGGGCTGAGAAAGAGTTCCAGGGTTCAAGTCAAGAACCGCCCGGGCAGGAATTCACCAGGATAGAGCCTTTAACTGTTTAGTTTTGTCAGAAACAGCTGGCAAAAATAGAATGGCAAATGTACTGGAAAGAGCTTAGATAAAACTTTGTTTTTAAGATCAGTTATTTTATCTCCTCTTGTGTCCCGCTGTATTACCCCGGAGCTTCCTTTCGGAGCCGTGTGGTTTTTCCTTCAGTTTTCCAAGTCAGGCAGGGTGCTGCACTGTTAGATCGCCCAGCCAGAGCCTCAGCAGTGGGTCTCTGTTCTACCAAGGGGGGTTCACCCTATGCCTAAGTCCCATACTGGCCAGATTCTGTTCTCCCATTCTGCCTTCCTGAGGTCACTCCAAAGTAGTCTGGCCTCCCTGTCAACAAAATCAGGGCCCGTTTGTTTTGAAATCCCCAGATTCCAAAGCTGGTCTCAGAACACCACATAAACTGGGGAGTTTCTTCGCTCCCTTTCACTCTGTGAACAGAATAGCACTCGCTGTAGCCAGACCCGAAGGCGGGAGATTTGCAGCTCAAAGCCAAGACTTAAACCTTCAGAGTGACTCTTGGTCCCGTAGATATCGGTGGCAAAACTCTGAACACAGACAGGAGTTCATCCTGAGTCAACATGTAGGGACTTTAATAAAGGGCCTGATTTACACCGGACAGGAGCCGCAGGACCCATCCACAGGAGTCCTCCGAGGGGTGAACTTATATGGACCAAATTAGAACGGACAGAAGAGCTGCTGAAATGTCAAACTCACAGATTTCAGAGCTCAGAATAATCAGGACAACGGTTGATTTTAGGGCAGGAGAGGGGCTCTCCTCTCCGGTTCCCTGCATCTCAGGATCTGGAGAGGATGATAAACACCAAAGATGGCAGTATGGAAGGTTGAGGTTAGACATCAGGAAAAATTTCCTACCTGACAAGGTAGTTAAACACTGGAATAAATTTCCTAGGGAGGTTGTGGACTCTCCATCACTGGCGATATCTAAGAACAGGATGGACAGACATCTGTGACAGGGTGAGGGCACAGAAGACCCTTTGGGGGTGCCTCCTGGGGTCCTGAAATGGCCATGACCGCTCGTCTTCCTGCTCTCTGGGGCTTCTTACCATCTGGTCCTGCTGGGCCAGTTCCCTGGTCTGCCCCAGCCAAGGCCCTGAGCTGAGATCCCTGCCCTCACGCCCAAGATGCACTACACACATTAAACATCTTCCCATCCAAGGAGAGTGCAGTTTAGGGCCCAAATCCCTGGGACACCCCTCCCCAAAAGGGATCAAACCCCAAAGAATTAGGTAAGCCCCCTCTAGCAATGGAAGGGGGAATGTGCAGAGTGGTTGCTTTGCCAGGTGTTTACTCTGGGTTTGATACAAAATAAAAGTGATTGTAAGTAGAAGCAATAGAATTTAAATGGAAATAAGTGAGAACAGGAAGAGCTAAGTAGGCTACAAATCAAAAGAAAGAAAAATACTTGGCTAATTCTACACTGACATCTCACTACAAATGTTTTCAAACTCACCCTAACACCTGAGCTGCCCCACTCTGAGGTCTTCAACTCCTTCCTTCAGGTGCTGTGTAACCAAAAGACCCACTCCCTACCAAGCACTGCTCAAACTTAAGGACAAAAGAGATTGTTTACCCTCCATGACTCTCATTCACACGTTTGAAATGCACAAAGTATCCCCCACTCCGTATGTCTCATTTTAAACACGAAAATGATGCATGCATCAAAGTAAGATAAACAGAACCAGTGGATCGTGACATGAAGATTGATAGGTTACTTGAAATAATTTGCTCAACGCACCTTATAGTTAAGTATATTCAAGTCACAAAAAGTCATTCTTCCGCTCTACTCTGCACTGATTAGACCTCAATTGGAATATTGCATCCAGTTCTGGGCACAATATTTCAAGAAAGATGTGGAAAAGCTGGGGAAGGTCCAGAGAAGAGAAATAGGTAGAGAACATGAGCTATGAGGGAAGGCTGAAGGAATTGGGTTTGTTTAGTTTATAAAAGAGAAGATTGAGGGGGGACATGATAGTTTTCAGATATCGAAAAGGGTGTCATATGGAGGAGGGAGAAAACTTGTTCATCTTGGCCTCTGAGGATAGAGCAAGAAGCAATGGGCTTAAACTGCAGCAAGGGAGGTTTAGGTTGGACATTAGGAAAAAGGTCCTAACTGTCAGGGTGGTCAAACACTGGAATAAATTGCCCAGGGAGGTTGTGGAATCTCCATCCCTGGAGATGTTTAAGAGCAGGTTAGATAAACGTCTATCAGAGAGGGTCTACATGGTGCTTGACCCTGCCATTAGGGAAAGGGACGGGACTCGATAACCTCTCAAGGTCCCTTCCAGTTCTAGTGTGCTATGATTCTAGGATTCTATTAAAAGGCATTACAAATAAAAGCCAGTTTCTGTCATGCAGGGGATCGGGAGGTGTTGGAAATCTCACCGGTTGTAGGTACAGGAATGCACAGTATGTGTGGAGGAGGTGGGGGGTGATTACAAGATGTGCAGTACGCAGATCGCAGTGGCACAGAGTCCTGAAACTGGGTGAATTAGGGAACAGACAGCCTGCCTCATGCCCACACTGCAGGAATAACAGCCTCAGAGAGGTCTGCTTTCGCTTCTCAGGAGCTGCAATACATTAAAACTTTGTGCCGTTTTGAGGAAGAGTTAATCGCACTGGCTCCTTTAGTGTCCGTGTCTTGCCAGGCCTGTACCTCTCTCCCTGCCCAGGCTGAGCTTCCTCTGGGGTTTCCTTCTCCTCAGAAAGGTAGGTCAGGCTGGTCTCCCCCTTTTCCTGCTGCAGCCACACTGAATTTCACCGAGTCGGAGGAGATATTTCTGTGAGCTGTCGCTGTGGGGTCTGGCACCTGGATATATTTTGGAATAACAGGTGCACTCTTCCAGTGTCCCTGAAACCCTCATTCCACGATGGTTGAGGGACTTGTCAGAATAGTGCTGTATTTCAAAATAACCTCGACATCAGCTACACAATTTGTGTATAGCAAATTACGTACCTTCTACCGAGGTAAAGTGGATGTAGCCACACCCTGAGAGAAGAAAGCTTTGTTCTGTTTCCCCTCAGTATTGAATTAGCCATACTTCAATTCAACTGAATGTCCTCTTCATTGACATTCTCTATTTACTTGCTACCAGTCGGTATTTTACTCACTTGTCTCACATCACCCCTTGTTCATCCCCTTTGTAGGGCAGCCATAAGAACATAAGAGCATAAGAACGGCCGTAGTGGGTCAGACCATGCCAGGCTTTTCAGTCTCTCACTCCCTGAGAGCTTCCTCGGGCCCTTAGTCAGGTGGTGAGAAGGGGCCCAGTGTTACACAGAGGAGGCCGGAGAAGGGGGAAACATTGGGTTCCTTGTTCTAAGACCTTGTGTTACGGATAGAATTCTCCATCCTAGTCCTGCTAGATCCAGATGTTTACCTTAGTTTCTGTCCCTGCTTGCTCTGTGAGCAGGGTGTCCCAGAGCTGTGTGCCGCGGTACCCAGCTCCCTCTCATGCACGTGTGTGAGGTGTTCAAACATTTCCCTCTCCAATGGACATATATGTTACAGTTACTGACATCCAAGTTTACCAGCCAACATCCTGCCCATTCCCCAGGCTTGATTAGCTCCCTCTGGGGACTTCTCTCGTCTCCAGTGTGCACTAAATAATCTGGTTCCATCTGCAAAATTTGGCACTGTACTACTCACTCCCTTTTCTAGATGGTTAATAAATATCCAATGTTTCGGGTACGGCTTGATATCAAGTGCGTAATCCTCTGGCTCTGCTTCTTTTCTTCACAGGTGCCTTGCGCAGCCCTGAGCATGACTGATGCACCCACCACCTCATGGCAGCTTTCAACGTCACCCCCTCTGACCCTTTAACATTCATCCTAGCGGGTGTCCCTGGCCTGGAGGCTGTTCATGTCTGGATTTCCATCCCCTTCTCTATATTCTACATTTCTGGCGTTTTTGGAAATCTTACGGTTCTGTTTGTGGTCGGCAAAGAGCAGACGCTGCACAAGCCGATGTACCTGCTGCTCTGCATGCTGGCGCTCACAGACATCGTCACACCTTCCTGTGTTTTGCCCAAGGCCCTGTGTATATTTTGGTTCAATTTGAAAGACATTACTATGGCTGGCTGCTTCACCCAGCTGTTTATCCTTCATGGGTGTGTTGCGATGCACTCGGCCGTCCTGGTGCTAATGGCCTTTGATCGCTACGTGGCCATATGTAACCCTCTGAGATACCCCACCATCCTCACCCTCACACGGGTAGCTAAGCTGGGGCTAGTGGGGTTGCTAAGAGCTCTTTTCCTCGTTCTGCCTCTGCCCCTGCTCCTGAGCAGACTGCCATTCTGTGCCAACCGCGTTATCCCCAGCACGTACTGTGACCACATAGCAGTAGCAAAGGTGTCATGTGGGGACATCACAGTGAACAGTATGTACGCTTTGGTGATAGTGTTTCTTGGCGTTGGGTTAGACCTGACACTCATAGCTGTGTCCTATGGTCTCATCATCCGGGCCGTCCTCAGAATCTCCTCCAAGAAAGCTCCCCAAAAAACCCTCAACACTTGCACAGCCCACCTCTGCGTGATGCTGACGTCTTATCCTGTTTTCCTCTTCTCCAGTCTCACACACCGGTTCGGTCAGGCTATTGCTCCCTACGTTCACATCATCTTGGCCAACCTCTTTTACCTACTGACCCCCGTGCTCAACCCCATCATTTATGGGGCCAAAACCAAAGAGCTCCGTGAGAAAGTGGGGAAATACGCCTGCAGCAAGTCCTCTCATCTGGGGGTCACCAACATTAACCCTGCATGATGGGATGGGGAAAGCCCATCTCTGCATCCATCTACGGTGTCCTTAGTCAGGTGTGTGGAGTTTCTCAGACTTCGAACATCCACCACACCGAGTTCCACCTCACTTCTCACCTCTTCATCCCCAGATACTGCTCACTCCTTTCCTCCATTCTTTCTCCTGTTTTCTTTCAACATCACTCCTCAGCTGCCGACTCCACACAACGTCTCTCTCAGCCTTTCCCTGACATCCAGTTCAACAGCTGATACTGTAGTTCTCTGAAGGAAAGTGTACTGTGTGCATTCGGGCATTCCTCTGAATCCACTTTGAGAGACATTTTTCTTGACACCTTCTCCCCAACAGCTGAGTGACTAGGCATTTTGAACCTGCTGTTAAATACTCAGTCTTTTTCCAGATTTTGGATCTCTGGGGTGTTCTACACCTATTGTTTATATCAACGTGCACTTAAATCTAATAAACTCCTGTACTAAATAAGAAAATTCTTACTTCCCTTTAATACTTCATTAGATCAAAGGGCTGGGTTCCAATGATTTATTCCTGACATTG